GCCTAACGCTGTCTTCGTATGCGCGGCGGAACTTTGCAATTTCAGAAATCAGCAATACTAACAAAACAAAGATATATAATAAATAAAGTATAATAATAATAATAAAGTATGCCTTTCCAAGGCCAGCACTTAACAATTGTTTTGCCCTGCTCCGGAGGTAGAAACGCCAGTATTCATGATCAGGTCTAGGCGTCTTTGTTTGACTGTCCACTAACTCGGTGCAAGTTACCAATTATTCGCTCTAGAGAACTGCATTTTTTCTTCAGTTTCTCTGCATTAACGATATCATTATGCTAGTTTGCTGTGTCCTGTAACGGCTTAGTCAGTAACCCGACGAGCTTTGTACGATTCTCACATTTAAACAGGGTACTGACTGAATGTGTATAGGCGTTTCTTCCTTATGAGCACTAAACTCAGTATTGTGGTACATTTTGGTATAGTTAATACGGCTTGTGATTGTCGCTTCAAGTCTACTTTTCTTTTTTTTCCCTGAAAAAGTTGTGCCAGAAAAATTTTCATATCGTGGACTTTTGCAATACTGAGTTTCACCAAGCCGCATATCGTTTTTCGAAGGCATTCCTTACGCGTTTCACGTTCCGAAACGGTGGACCTAGCGCTGGGGCAAAGGCTCGAATGAAGTTTGCACATCGTATCAGGCGTATTCCTATACACTAAGAAAGAGATAACTAGCAACAGCGTTTGAGATTAGATGATGATCAATATAGTGACAATAATAAGTGTGCCTTGGCACTGCTTAAGGCGCAGGGATTGGGTAAACAACTGGAAGCAGTAACAAAGATCCTTCATGAATCACCCATGGAAAGTTGCGGGAAACTGTGTGATCCCGGCAAGTTCCTCTATATAGAGAACAGCTAACTGTTACAGGGTTACGGTATGAGGGAAACGAACGTCACCAGTAGAAAAATTAAAGCAGGGGCATTAAGTATGTATTATTTTCATTCTGACTTTGGATTTCGCTAACTGTACCCCACAAATTAAGAGTGAAGTCTACGTATTTGCGTAAGAAGTAACCGTACGTTAGATGAGAATCTCCTACTAACGCTAAAGTGTAGACTGAAGCACACGCAATACGTGTAACACTTTAGCATCAAATAGTATAAAAGATATGGTCGAAAGCAGGAACTGTGGCTTGCTCGCATAGTACTATATATGTTGTTTCCGAATACTGAGCTGCTTTCGTGTAGGTTTTTTGCTTTTCTGCATGAGAATTTCCGCAGTGTGGCGTGCCATTGGTAGAAAAATCATTGACGCAAGTGATACCAGGAAAAATCACGTAGTGGACAATGACACACTCTTTTTGTTGATTCAGTGAAGCAGCGAAGCGGATAAAGCTGGCTTCTTCTAGCCGTAGTAACCAATGGTAGTTAGGACCAGTAGCAACGATTCTATAATTTACTTCTTAACCTGTTTTTCTTAACGTTCTTTTAAATATGCATACGTTTCTTTGTATCTCTCTTGGTATCGACTACACATATATATATATATATATATATATATATATATATAGTCGATATTTTTGCTTTAGACGGATTGCCAGGAAGTTGTGGTGAAGGGATTGGGTGTGAGCGACATCAAATGTTCAGGGATATTATATCTACCACGCAATTATCATACAGTTAAGTAAACCTCATAGTTCCGACGCGTGCAGTATTGTAAAGGATTTTCAGATCAGGCAAAATATCTGCGTTTGTGTGAAATAAAATTGTCCAGAGTCATTAGTAAGTATTTTTGATTAAATTAGAAGAAAATGCATTTTAAGCGCGCTTTCTTTCCAGATAAGCATAACTACGATCGCGGGCGTGCGTCCTACTACCGGCCGTCCATTGTCACGAAATGCTGAGTCGCTCGCTGGACTCGCATAGCATCCTCTAAACGTGGATGACCTCTTTTAGTTTCAGCAGAATAGAGACGAGCCGCATGGCTCGGCACACCTTGTCTCTCTTTGAAGTATAGGCTTCACCTTCAGGATAAAGACCTTAGGCGACCTTTGTATTTTATGGCTTGACTTTTCACGATAACTTTCTTTGACTTCATGTTAAGGATAGAGTCTATGTGTGCAAGCTAATGTCTCTGCCGTCTTGCTGAGGGTAAGTCGCTAGCCACAGCACAGCTGTTAAGATCCATTTGATTCCACCCGTTTCGCTTTTCGATAGGTTTCGCAAATGCCTTGCGCGTTACGTATAATACTCAAGCCATTAGGCACGGTTTCAGGTGGCTGGCTACCAGCACGAAGCGAGACTTGTCTGGGCCCGAACTCGAGCTCACATACACACACCACGCATTACAAAGCTGAGTAAGCAAATATGTTGCCACTTTATTATCAAAAGGACAATCAATCCTAGATTATTACGATTTATCGTAAACAAATTCGAAGTTTCAAGTTGTGCAAGATATTATTCTCCGTGCCCTTCAAAGGCCCAACACTTGCTATGCTCTCTGTGAGAGTACTTCATTGTGTGCTAATACTTCGCCATACCTTTACCTAAAACCTGCAATCTGACTGAGATGCGTAACGAAGTGTGCTTTCGTACAATATGCTGACATGGGACGCGGGTAAAATACAACTCTATTAGGTTAGTTTCGCGCGTGAATGTGTGTGAGTCGTCCTTTTATGTAAACTTCCGATGTTATTACATCTCCTGAACGTGTTAATTTTGAACATGTGGACAATTCTATGACCGTACAGGCAGGATGACAGTACGCTCCTTTCCCCCCGAAGTCGCTGCATAGAGTAAAAGTGGAACTAACTAGCTCGATATTTGTTGCATTATGTTGCAACTTTAGCCATTTCGATGATGGAAAATGCATCAAGGCTACCGATATTAGATATACACTGCAATTTATATTTCTGGGTCTGTGTGGTGAAATTGAAGTTTGCGATAGTACTTCGAGGAACTACATAAGAAAAAGCTGTATGAAATTGATATTTCTGACATTCTAAAGCCTTTTTAGCGTTACGTATTTTTTGAGCACTTTGGCCTTCTGGTCGCCTATTCCGAATTGTTCGAAAATGACGGCGGTATATGTCATAGTTAAGACGAGCTGTAGGTATTGGTAAATGAATATATATAAGTTTCTATGATCATTAATAGCGGCTTCTCAGTGCAGAAAATCAGCGTTGATCAGCGTAACAGATTCTACTACAACGAATGCTAGACAATTTGTACGAATGCTAAAGTTTAATTTGTGTATTTCATGTTAAATGAAACACACAAACTGATACGCGACTACCCAGAGAAAATGCGCGGTATTTTCGGGTGGTGTGAGTCATAGAACGCCCATGACCTTTTCAGGAATAGAGTGGGTGACATATATGCAATGTTTTTAAATTTTCTTTTCCAATTCCTTTAATAGCACGCTGGCGTTTGTTTTTTGAAAATTGGCAAATTTTAAGTAGACCCAAGCGAGCATATCATTGTTTTTGTTGAATCGACAATACTTTCCCTTAAAGTTTAACTATTCTTTGTTTTTTTTTAATCTTCATTAACATAACGACATGTTTGTTACTATCTGTAAAAATCGCATTCCCATGATTCCATGATGATAGTAGATGATTTCCACTGGTTGAACAACAGTGTATGCGTATTGTCAAACCGAACCGCATCCAAAACTATTCATTTCAATCGGTTAGATCGAGTGACGACTTTAACCTCTGTTGATTTAAGAGTAATACAAATTCTCTGAGTTTTACGTTTGGTGCTTTGCCATTAAACACGCTTTCAGACTCCCAGCGTAAAGCAAAGTTTACCTAAACCCGGCTTAGAACCTGGATTTCATCACTGCAAATACCCTACTACTGGACCACTAGGGCGAGAACTTCTAGTGAACTAGAACTGACTGATTACACAAATATCAGAAACACTGAAATTTGAAAGAGTGGGAAATTATTTACTTCCGATAACAACTAGTGCTGGTTGAAATGAAAAAAAAAGAGGTGAGAAGCTTACGTGTAGCATAATCAGAGAAAGTACACATGCATTGAGTTTATTTGGTTCCATTGTCAAATCGCTGCTCGATACTATTTAGTAGGGTTGAATTTTGCATAAGTAGTTTAAAAGTTCCTCACCCCGACACCCTTAAGATTCCTTCAAGCACATCGCTAAGCACACGCGAGAAAATCATAATTACGACCGCATCGCGATTAACAATGGGGTTTTTAGTGATAGACGGAAAATGGTATAAAGATGCATCACATAATTTAGTGTACATAGAGAAGCAGTAATAGTTATATAACTATTAGGTGTGACACAGATGTTCGTGAAGAACTTACCGGAGTCTTATGACGGAGAAGAGCATCGCCACAATCGGAGTTTATTTGTAGATATTCTAGACAGATCTGTTTATTCGATAAGCATAGTATCACATAAGTACGGGACAGACAAAAGAGGAAATATGAACAAATAGGATTAATACCGTGAAGACCTTAAATAAACTTTATTTCAGACGTCCGGTAGCGAAGAACAAGTTTCCACAGAAAGTACTGTTTATGAAAACAACTCTAGGTTCCAAAGCGCATCTGCATCCAGCATCCAAAGATGATAATAATATCGATCTGCGATCTCTTATCAGCCAGGCACTTCCGTCTACTCAATGGGGCATTCATGTAGAAAATATGTTCGACAAGTAGTGGGCCTAATACACAAAAGTGTAATATATACAAGAGCTTGCAACAGGATTCTGGTGACCAGGTACAGCAACTTCTTGCAATAATTACTATGACCGTCCCGTTCTATTTTCAGTCCTAGTTCAGATGGGTCGACTTAAAACATATTGTTAATCTGAATAGAAACGACATCATAGTTATTCCCTTGTTTACCATAATACCTTGTATTGTATATGTATGGGACTCGTTGACAGATAAGATTTATAGAGATTGCCTACTAAAGAAATCACTACGCGATCATATTAACAAAAAAAAAATCTATATATATATATATATAAATGAATAATGTAAATGTGATCGATGCGGTCTAAGAGATTTCCGGCACGGCGGATCGTCTAGGTTCTGTAATATATATATATATATATATTACAGTATCCTAATACCGTTCGAAGCTTCCCCAGTATAATCTTTTTTTGCCGATACGCCTATCGATGCTAACTACAGCTGTTTTTCTTTAACGTTCAATGCGAAAAAATTGTTATATTGATTTATTCCAACGTGCAAGTTCCAGTTCAACCGATCACTGTACAATAGGCAAAATCACTGGTTGTAATTTAGTGCCGCTCTCTAATAACGAGACCGCAATGTACTTCTATTCTGCACACGATTTTGTAAATTGAATTAGCAATAACGGTGTTACGCTAACCCCTTAGATCTCTAGTCATGAGCAAAGGGAACGTGAGCCTATTCGACAACATACAACATCTGGATCAACCATGTTTTTACCATATTTAATGCACCTATTTAAGTACTCATACTGATGTAGAAGGCTGGTTCGTGTGGGAGCCTGGAGGAGTTCCATAGGCCCTCCAAGCTAACTCGCATAGCTTCAATTCACGTTTATACACATCACCTACATGTACGCGTTAAAATGCTGTTATCCCATGACGCGTCAGTATGATTGCGACAAGTCGCTCGCGAAGGTACAAAGTTAACGTGTTTAAGGTCAAGTTTGGTGTTATTGATGGTCCTTTTCGTTTTTTGCATCTTGCTTCTTGCAGTAGCATTCCTGCTGCAGGCTGTCCTCGTACACCTATCCCCTCAGACGCAACAGTCTTCACCACTCACAGGTATGAAAAGACATAGCCGTTGTAGCACCTGCAGAAGCAGCCCCTATTATGCCTTTTGAGGTAATTGAGTGCGCTGATTAAGTATGGCAAAGCTATGCTATATTAAATTAAATTTGCGGAACCCAGCTTTATGGCGATAAAACAAAAATCTACCCGTAATCTTAAGCTGGCTTTGGGGGAGGCTGCAGATAACTTTGACGCCTTGTTGTCGTGTATTATTCAGTACTAGTAAACGAAGCAAATAGATAGTCGCAGCACTGATTATCGCCAAAATTACTCTGTTAGCGACTGAAAATAGGTTGTTGTTTGGAACAGTGTAAAGCGAACAACGCGTCTTAGTAAATCTATTATGATGACTTCCGATGAAGATGATGAAGAGTTTGAAGAAATACGTATGATAAAAGTAGTAGCGATTTATTACGCTTCTTTATCCTGGCATAGTTCAAACAGATATTGTGAAGTTTGTTGCAATTGAAGCTGATCGTGGGGCTGGCATCGGGGCAGGCTAGCTAATTTCGGGCTGTACAGAGAGCATCTGATGCAGCGACTGCTGTGAGTGAGTACTGCTGAGATTGGACTTCAATAGGCCGCTATTGTTGTTCGAATTAAGATCAGATGCATGAGCGGTGAGTCTGGACGTGTTGGAATAGTCAAACACAGGCGGCGGCAGTGGCGGTATCTCAAGATTGTTCGCCTGAAGATGTCATAAGGGGCAAAATGATTGACAATAGTCTACTAATCAAGTAGAAACGAGGACAAATAGAACAAGTGAAGGTTGGTTGTACAGTTAGATATTAAAAGAGTGGCAAGTGTAGATGCATTTACTGAGTGGATAATAATACTATTACTACCAAAACTCATTATTATTAACGATAATATAGCGATTAAAGGGCAGCCTGTATTGGCTAATATATCTACCTAAGATAAACCGTTTGGTATTTCACCTGCCTTGGAAGAGTAAAAGCGTTGGTTTCAGTAGTAAAATCACACCTACATTTAAAAACTAACATTTACAAGATGGATATTTAGGAATTAAGGTGAAGTTTTAGAAATATGGAGATACCTGTCGATGTTTCTCCCAGCGATCATCGTCTGATTCGTGAGTGAGATACCGAATACCGACTTCTGTTTCAAGTCGTCTCAGATCAAGCCACATCTGGTAATCTTGAATCCACGAATGTGCGAGCGACTTATCGACAGTATAACGTTTTGCTACTTTTACCTGTAAAGTATCGGAAAATTTGGACACATAACGGAGATAATAACAATACCTTCAACCAAGCATTCAAAAAAGCCTTTAGTTACCTTTCCGACATCTGTTCGTTGCCGCTATGGCTGTCTCACTTGTAGCAAAATCAATTAACCGCCTAAAGGTACTAGATCAAATTCACTACGTCTGGCCTAAAGATCTGCGAAGCCCGCTCGAGCCACTTTGCTTTTACAGTGATACAGGGGTATTAGTAATGCAGTAATGGTTGCAATGGGTACGCGTCTATCTATTAAACTGAAAAACACGTCTTGACCCAGGTTCGTTTCAGGCAGAAAGGGACGAGCTGTCTGAAGCACGTATCGTACGTCAAACTTGAAATCCAGTAGTGTTATATCGCCCGTTCCCGATCTGCGAAGGCACTGTCTGCGTACGTACAACAGTTGACTAATCATCTGCTGCCCGCGTCGAGGCTATAGGCCATGGCAGGTAGCATTGCTAGCGAAGTACTTTTACGCGTAACCAGCGCGCTTCTTCTAAATTATATATATATATAATTTATCCAAAAAAGCTTTTACTGCTTTCACGGACTGTAAAGCTCCGACTTATTGACCAATCCAGCTCAATACTTTGTAAAAAGAATACACTTTATCGGTACTCCAAGCGTAGCTTTTTAGTACTCCGACTACATTTGCTAATATCCGAAGTTTTTCTTGCTATCAACAGACAATCTCCGTATTCCAGTCGATTTTCTATGAGGCCCAATAGAATCTTGCCAAGTTCCAGCTCGAGCGGCAAAGTGCCTTATTAGAACCTTATCTGCCGGCACCTATTTACTACTGCGTCCGGTGGTTGTTTTTGACTAAGATCCTTCGTTGCCATATTGGCTCGTTCTTAGGCTAACGGATATAAATCAAACAGACAGAACGATCTTACCCTACGGAAGAGGAGTTAATGAATGCTTTGAGCTTCCCTGAGCTTCTTCTTTGCGATACGCAGAACTCCCTGTTACCTTTACCTTTGAAGCCTTTGTTTCGTAGTGATGCTTCGCTATGGTCTAATCCATCTTGGCTCGCCTTCACAGTGGAAAATCTCATGAGAACCATCGCTTTGTCACGCACCACCTAAATCCGTGCGTTTCTTCAACCTCAGATCGCGCGTGCTTGGCAATAATGGCAAGAGCTATTATCGTCGAACGGAAAGCGAGGGGAGGGTAACATTTGAATGCCAAGCGGGAGAACATGCTTTCTTACGAACGCGACGACTAATGTAGCGCTTTTGCGTAGCCTCAAAGGTGCTCGAAGGAAGGGGTAGCTCAACGGAAGTGAATGATCCTAAGTTTTAGTCAATTGTTCGCACATTGTGATTAAGTCACAAATATCTGGTCCAATTTGTGTTATCTTTTTCCTAAATCAAATAACTGGTTCTCGCTTCCTCCAGCGAATCGTTTTAAGGCTTGAATTAAGGCGGATTTTAGCTGGCCAGGAAAAGGCGTACCGATGAATGTTCGGCTACATCTTGACAGAGTGGCCTCTGCGGTATAACATATATATATATAAGGTGGGCGCCTTATTAAGATTAAATCCTGAGCTGATCTTCAACTTTCAAGCGTTATAGCTGTTGTTTTCTGGGTCGGTTCGATTCGTGTACACAGAATTCGTCGAAATGCAACGGGTTTTTTGATGACAAACTCATACTATACATTCGTTACCGATACGTTAGATTTTGATTAGCAGTAATACTAGCGTCAAGTAAGCCATTGTCCTGAACTAGCTTTTAATTTTTAGAAAATTCCTTTATGACGACAACGCTTTAGGACACATGTTGACGTGACAATAACTATGCCAGTCTTGATATCTATGATAAAAATCACAGTTATAATCTATGAATATATTTAATGAACATACATAAATAGATGATGCTGTTGAACGGATGGATAACGATGTGTTGGGGCTTCGATCCATGGACAAGGATCAATATTTTCCATCTTTTTTCATTGTAGATTAGAGAAGAGCTAGTGGTTCTGTTTACTGTGTGGCATTAAGTATACTAGAAGGCTGGAATATGGCTGAACGGTGTTACAAGTAACTGCCAAGTGACTCTTTGATACAAATGTAAATCGGATTCTTTTGACGTTATTTACTGCGCCAATTTTTAGCCATTCATAGTCTTTCTATATGATGATCTATAAACACCTAGGCAACTCAATACAGCAGATTTGAACGATTTGATTTTGACAAGAGAGTAGTTCAAAGCTTTCGCAGGCCAGCTTGTCTAAACGCGCGGGATACGCATGAGATAGCATTTTACTATTCAGGATGTCACAAAATCGATAGCTTCCAATAATTAGACGTATGTTGAAGCTGCACAATATGAGAATCACATAACAGGTTTCGTGAATACGGTCCCCGGCTATACGGTTTGTATCGAGTACGCGTACAACTCATCGAAATAAATTACCTGTGCATTGAACACCTACCTGAAGGAGACAGCTAATAAGGTGAATTGCTTCCTTAGATATCTCTCGCCATGGCTGCGGTGGATACATGAAGTCGGCGTTCTGAATTTGGTCGTTGATATCTTCGTCTTCGTTGAACGGGAACGTACCAGATAGTGTTACGTATATGATAACCCCAACAGACCACATGTCAAGCAGGCGATTATAACCCTTATTTCGTAGAACCTTTACAAGACAGATGGCAGCATGGTTAGTAGAATCTTATTTGTTGGCTGTTGATAACGAAAACCTGGTAAAATAGAGCTGAATAGGTCGCCCAAGTGAATAATATCGGGCTCGTAGATGATTAGAATCGAACAGAACATGAGTCGTACCTCTGGGGCGAGATAGGCTGGAGTTCCAACAACCGATTTACGGAACGATTTCTCGCCAATGATACGAGCAAAACCGAAATCGCACAACTTGAGCTGAGGGAATGGTGAGTCCGTCGACAGCAAAACGTTTTCAGGTTTGAGATCGCAGTGAACAATGTTACGTGAGTGCAGATGGCGCAACGCGACTAAAATCTGATAGATGAGAAACTTCGCCGTTCGCTCTGGTAGACGACTCTGTAAAGAAATCGTTATCACTAGAAGTATGCAGAAAATTAGCTTTGCTAGACAAACTTAAAGAGAGCCATATTTGAACTTGTTACAATAATATCCATTAAGTTTACACTGCCCGGCGGAAAAGAATTAATAATAATAATAATAGTGTTAATAATAAAAACAGAGACGTTGTTTCGATACGATCCCTAGCATCCAGGCAACTCTTAACATCGTGCTACTAGGCAATCTGCTCTCTCTTCGAAAAATAGGAAACAAATGATAAGCAGCGTTAGGATAAAGATCATGTTGCCTCCCTTAGCACGACAACATACCCAAGTAGACGCACAGACTCTATCCAACATCAGGCTCACTATTTTTAGACTGTTACCATAATACAACCTGCAGGCATGCGTCATACCGTCAAACTAATCGTCTCCTGTTGATTAGATGGCGGTGCACGACACAGGTCAAAAATGTTAGGCACAGCTACGGGTAGACAATAACGGGTCAGCATGCCGTCGTTTTAAGGTACAACATGTAACAAAGTAAGCCATTCGGTGTCGTGAGTCATTCAATGTGTGTTCCTGGTAATAACAGAAGACGGCACTCTTCAACGCAGGGAATGTTAATTCAAACCAGCGTTGAAGCAACCCGAGAAGTATATATATATAAATTTTACGCAAGGAAGCCGGCTATCTTCAGCCGTGCAATAGAAGCTGAATGATAACAACAGCAAAACAAAAACGTTTCAGACGATTGACCAACGCGTACTCTAAACGAAACAAATGTATACAGACCTCCTGTATGTAATAAACTGATGCCAGTATAAAACAAGCTTAAAGACTAGAAAATCAAAATATGAAATAGAAAAAGCTACGTAAGGTTCGTAATAGCACACTCTTCTTCTAGTTTATCATCCGAAAAAGCATAGCAGTTTTCCGTCCACATGCTATTGGTGGCCATGCCATGACCATGTGGACAGATGCTTTCGACCAACTTGGGTCCACCAGACCCAACTGTTCCGGAACTATAAAAGCAAACCACTTTCATAATACGATCTTCTGTTTTCAAACAGGTCGACCGAGCGATTGGTCCCACGTAGAGAATGGCGCAAACTGACCTGCAACTTTTCCGTTGATCAAAGCAGGCGAAGCGTTGCTAGGATTATATGTTTCGGTGTACGTCAGGATCCTTGATCGTTGTCTTTTTGGACAAGTTTTCTCAGGACTGACGCTTTTTCATTAATATTCTAATAATTGCGGAAGCATTATTTAAAAAAAATTACCTCGGAAATCAATGGACATTGTTACCTGAGGTGAATTGAGGATCATCTCTAGCATATCGCCTTTCAGTTTTTCCATTACAACGAACACGCGTTCTGGAGTTTCAAACATTCTCTCAAGATTAACGATGGCTGGGTGTTGAATATTATGCAAAATCTGAACCTCGTTTTTTAAAGCAGCTTCCTCTTTGTGCGGGAACCGGAGTTTGTCGATCACCTTCAAACACCGTATCCGATTAGATATTTTCTATTTACAATAGTGTACTAACTAAAGCAATTTTGTTATTTCGGCCTTTCAGCTTCGTTTGCAAAAGCGACGATTCCTAGAACTACTAATACTACTATACCAGAACAGATATGTCTGGTATAGAACATGCATCGTTCTACTACAGGGTATTCCCCCTGAAAATACGCACATTTTGCTTTATTGTCTATATGTATGTTCTTTTCTTATCACGGTATGAGGGCTAACCCTAATAGATAAAATTTTGTGAGCAATACGCGATTTTGAAACCGGTTTGGTACCTTAAAGACGACCACGACATCGTTGTTTCGTCTTCAAGGTATTGTTGTTACTATCAAGATTTTGAGGTATTGGTTCAATGCATTATTATAAGCGTTGTTTATCTAGAAGAGTAAATTATTTCAATGTAATAACCTTACCTTGATGGCGACCTTCCGGAGCTTTTTACGGTGCACGCCCCCGTAAACAATACCGAATTGCCCCGACCCAAGTACTTCTTCCGGGTGGATCTGATAGTGTAGACTTATATCCTGGGAAGGATCATCCTCATCGTCTTTGTCTTCTGGCTTAACATTATCATTGGTCGCCATTAGCGGCAGCAGGGCCTGACGAATGGCCACTTCCCAACTGATATCCTTATCGCAACCGAAATAGTAGATACAGTTCTTGGTCCTTAACTCGAGGCAGTATTGACCGTGATTTACATTATCCTTACATATCTCGATCAAGATCACATCATCGAGTGGAATTTCCTTGAAGAACTTGCTTGTTTCCTCGTTCTGGTAGAGTGTTAGCATTTTGGTGTCAAGTCGCCAAAAGTGCTTTCGCTTCAATGAATCCTTGTTCGTATAGTGCATCAGCCAGCCCTCTTTAAGGATGCTTTGCCCGCCTTTCTTCGTGTGCTTGATTGATTGTGCAATTCGCATAAGCGGGATATTATTTGCATTCTGACCGTCATTCGTCGCCCGGGGCTCTTCCTCCGAACCGGAGTCCTGCGAACCACACGCTTGTAGGACCCTCTCAAGATGTTTGGGTACGGCATTCGGTGGCGTAATGTGCAGAATGGGATTGTTGCCAAACGTCTCTGTTTCTTCTTCGCTGTCATCTTGGGCATATTCCACGCTATCGGTTCCATCGTTGCCTTCCTGACCTTCAGCCTCAGCTGGTTCTTCGTTTGACCATTCCGCCTCACCGGGGCAATCCATAGGGATTCGGTCAAGACATTTTCTATGTACATTGAACTTGCAATCTTTACATTGCAAACCCTGTCGGAAAAGGCCTTTGAGCAGCTTACGACAGTGCTGGCATACCGTTGGTTTTCCATAGGAGTGCACCAAGAATGTATGTGGGATACGAGTTTTGTTAGCGAGCTCTTTTTCCACCCATGCCGGTCTTCCCATATTGAGCGATGGCCGCTTTTCTTTGAGATTTAGTGTCGATAGCAATGCATTGTGATCGTCGATAAAAGGAGCGGCGGAAGTCGTTCGCTGTACAGTGTTCCTTTCCTTGAAGAAGATATCGGTTCCGGCTGTTGCTCTTGTCGGAGAGAAGAGCATACAGCTGAATGAAGACCGACGTCGTTTGATGTGTGTACAATTATTGGGAATTTTATAGGCGCACCGCTTATGGTAATTCTGTCCACAGCCTTCACATTTTAGGCCTTGTCGAACTAAACCGAAGAGCATCTCTCCGCAGAAATCGCAGAATGTCGGTGATTTGTATGAATGTACGGAGAGTGCGTGCGGCCGAATCTCAACATTGTTTTCAGAAAGTTCTCTTGCCGAAAGGACGATCTCAACAAGCGTACCTTCGTTGATATCCGAAATGCTGAAGGAGCAGAAAATATCAGAAGCGTTAGAGCATCACACGTAATTTATAATCTCCTACTGGAAACGTCAGAGATATCATTCACAGCGAGCGTGATGGGAGCACATAGCTGGCTTCTATGTTCAACATGTCGAACCAGACGAAGAGGAAAGTGGCTATTTTGAGTCACCTAATATTTCTAGGAGCGATCTTGAAGGCAGAAAAGAGGATTTGACATGAGCGCCATAAAAGACCAATAACCAACCGTTTGAACTGTTTTTATCACAACTTAGTAACCAAAGGATCGATCCTCGAGCGGAATCGCTCCCGGGAATGGAATTAGGAGGATATACAAGGATAATCATTATTTCAAGCAAGGAGGATCATCTACGGACATGGCTTTACAAATACGCTCCAGATATATTAGTATGATAATGTGGGTGGGGTAATCAGTGGCCTTTTACCTCAGTAAAACGATAACTGCAAACTGCTGTTCAAGTCGTCAGACTGATTTAAAAATACTTTGAAAAAAGAGCTTGAGTAATGAAAGGATCTGCACGATGTGATCTTATTGGGTGACCTTGAACCTAATATTGCTTCTGTTACTTGAAAAATTCAAGCTGCTAAAGCTTATTGCTGCAGACTTTGCTCTAACAAATGACGTCTATCCTGATCTATACAGCATCATCTGGAACAAAATAAAATAACAAGGAAAAACAAAAATAACGAAGTCTGAAAATGAATCTATGAATGGATCGCTTCTATGAAGGCCTCCCTTAGTCATTAAAATATTTTGTGGTAGTGAGGGGGCCTATACATGTCCCTGGTCATGTGACACTTGTTTTAAATTGGTCGATTTAGGAAAAGTTGGTTCTTTACAAAGGCTTGAAGCACGTAAAGAGATCTCAAACACCGAAATTATTAAGGTATAGTGCAAAAAGGCGCAACAGGCATTCATAATTTTATAATGCCTAGGTAACTTCAGCCCAAATCAAGACATAAGGCGTCTTGAAAAACGTGTACATTGCTTGACGGATTATAACTTTCCAATTGGATGTAATTGATCGAAAATAAGTTTCAATTCGGCGTTTTAAACAGAAAATTAATTAAGCCACTTTTATTTGGTAGCATAGTGACTGGTGCTAATTACTTGAATTTGTTGCAAGAATAAGTTCTATTACGCATTAGAGAAGACTTTGATGGAGATGGCAGATGATACTTCCAACAAAACGGAATATTATCATTGTAATGTAAGCGCATACCTTGAGAAGAACCTCTAGACGGAACGCTGGGTCGGGTTAAGAAGGCTTATAAAATATCTGAACCTGACGCTAATTGACCTTTCCTTATATACCTTGAAGATGAAGTCTACGCCAGAAAACAAGCGACACTGGAAAATGTAAAAGCCGCAATTTAGCAAAAATGCTCCACAATATAAAATTGGATATTTAGTAAAGTTTGTGCATCAAAAGTCGACCGTTATTACCAATGTGTAACGGTAACAATTTTAAACAGCTGCGCCAGGAAACAAGTTATAAACTTTGTAGATTCGTTTGCGATTGTAATATCAATTATATGTGAATAAAAACCGAAATTATAATTATCCAAACTGTGTATATTCCGTCGTTAATGTAATACGGGGAATAGCAGCTTTACAAAGACCAAAGGCTAGGAGGCTAAACAGGATTTTACTACCATACTTATTTCTACGAAAAAAAAAAAAATTAGAGTACATTTATTCATACCTGTTTTAAGGTAAAAAGTACCTACTAAACAAAAAAATATATAAAATACAATCATAATCACGAAAGAATATATTGTAAACAAAATATTAATAGTCTGTTATATATTTTTTCTTATATGTGAAAAAACCTAACATAGAAACTAAATTTGGGATGACTAAAATAAGCAAATAGAAAAATTACGCAAATTATAATACCAACATAGATTCGCGCGCAGGTAAAGCTGGCTGTTTCTTTCTTTGTGCTACGTATGGCTGAGATTTCTGCCGTGAAAGGCCTATACTTAGCTACAATGGAGTTAATCGGGACAACGATTATGAGATCCGCTTCAGAGGAAGTATGGAATCGTTTTGACTATGGCCATGCAAAAGCGATATTAGAGTAACAACAGACTTTGCCTGAATGAGCAAAAATTACTTTTTGGCATGTAACTGCTGATAGACATATTATAGTATATATGTCAACAGTAAACATATTAAGACACACAAAAGAGGAAATTGATTGAAGATCCTCACCTCGACTTTCACCTTTGGTCCTAACCTAAGTCGTTTACTCGCGCGTAGTCACACTTGTATCAACAATGATCGTGGAAATAGCTTCTTTAGAAATTTTGTTCATTTAGTACAAAGCGTGCACAAAAAGTCACGAGCCTCGTGTTAAACTTAAGTCTCGTCTACGGTATTTTTTTAATATGTACAATTTGAGGGAAATCCAGGAGGTATTTTTTTTTCGATGTTTCTTAAATGTCATGTTATTCGGTACTGACCAAACATAGTCTAAACATTTCAATTGCACGGACACATAAAACTTACCCTCAAAGGGATCATTTTCAAAAAACGTTCTTTTGCGCCCTATTACGTAGTAACTGGTCTTGTTATTGCACTGCCACTTGCAAGATCAGTTCAAGGTCACATTGTTTGTTGTGCTAGCAAATGAAACGTTCTGAAAAGCGTGAAAATATACGAAAAGTTTTGTGCAAAAAGTAACTGCCTCCGGGTATTCGTCTAATAAGCAAAAACGGAAACTTTTCTTTTCTATGAAATGCTGCCCTTCCTCTTGGGCGAAGCCTTACACACAAATTGTTTATCCAGTTTAGCTGCAATTTTTCAGATCTAAGGGAAAATGGTCCTGTGGGGAGCGTCCTTTCAGTTTGACGTCATACTGCCCTTTCTAGATTTACGTTACTTTGTCACTGTTCACACACTGTAAATCAAGCTACCCGGCTTAAAGGTCAGTATCCACGGTGTTGGTGAAAATAAGAGACAGACTGACCTTCGTACCCTATAAGACATTGGAACACAAGCAAGCTGTGCCTACTAAGGTAATCTGAGGTTTATTTAAATGAAGCAAAGACTTCTCTTTGTAGAATCCGATTGGCGCGGATAAACCTGCAGCTTCAACATTGTCAGACACAATTTGCACGGGTAGATCTTATAATTCTACTGCGTAACCACGCGAAAAAATATGTTGTATCCCTAAGCAACTGCTCTAATAATAACAATGCTACAATTTTTTTCCACTATCGCAGTAGCTAAAACTTCTCATTTCTTAAAAACGTTGTCCTTTTCTTTTAAGAGTTTTATTACTTTTACCCGCCTCCTTCCAAGCAAACAATAAAAAAAGCGTAGCGAAGTGTGGGTAAAATATATACAAAAACGCAGACACTGTTTACCTGGGGATACCTGCAAGATGTTTGTGTAAGCACGTAATTAATTCAATGACCAATTTCTTCTTCTTTCTCCTTTTACTATATCCATGTTTCTCTTCTCACACCCTACTCATTGGGAACTCTATCAGTGACTTTGATATTGTACCAATCCGTTATTCAAGTGCGAACAAAATCCAGTTCGCTCTTCTGTTTACAGGCCTTTGCTTTTACGTATTCCTAAACCCATCGCTCAAGCCCATATTTGTTCGAGTCAAGATCGAAACGCATGTGCTCGCGTACATTGCTCGTTTTCTTACCATCTTCTTGGCCTTTTATTATGGTAGCCGCTTGCTTTGTCCACGGTGTTGGTAACTTGTGCTGGGAGGGGCAAAATAAACAGACGGCAACTAGCGAGCACCAAATGAGTTCTGGTTCCCTTGTGTTGATAGTCCGAAAGAATAACTACGAGAAGGATAGTCTTTCAGTGTTTGTAGCAAAAGTCTGGGGCGTAGCGGGGCAGTTTGAATTTGTGGAGAAAGGGTCTAATTGAATTTACTTCACAAACTTCAACGAAGACTCAGGAGCGCTAAGCTGGACGTACCCTGGCCAATGCATATGGGCTACCTGTACATGCAGGAACAAAAAAAAATGCTACAATATTTTTCACACATTGCATCATAGAGAAAATTTACGTTGTGTGCTGAAGCATACAATTCTTCGATATTATATTTGAACATTTTTATAAACTATACTTATTTGCATGTGGTAATTAAACAGTGGGCGGTGTCCCATCGTGATAGTAGTAATAATAATCACCTTATTTATGCATATCTAATGCATACCGGTAAGTACCTGGCCTTTCTTAAGGACCTGGACAAGAACTTAGATCAGCTTGAGTCTGTCTGTACGACGTTTAAGTGGAAACAGAAAATAGTCGTGACGTTGTAGACTATACGCATTTGTATGCATAGTCTGCGCTTCGTTACCCAGAAACCATGGAAGAATTGTATGACGTAGCCATCGCTGAACATGACAAATGCTCGTACGTTAACGTTTATAAAGATAACTAGCAAGACTGGACGAGCAATTGTTTTCAAGACAGTTCAGCGATGAGGGATAACTGATGCCTCTGGTGAACTTGTTGCGGATTGTAAATAGCAAAAACAAACTATGCTCAAGTTAACCAGAAGTAAACCGTTTCCAAAAAAAGAAGAGTTTAGCTTGAAACAAAAGAATTTGATACAGAAAAAAAACTTAACAGGTTTTACAGGACTAAACATGAAACACCCATAACAGACTGTTGGATCCAAACTTATCGAACAGCTGCAGAATTGTTATCTAATATGCACATATAGTTGAAGAACGACTATCAAATGCGACCAAAGTAGGACTGAGTAAAAAATGTGACCGTTTGACTTGAGACATAATGTCGCCGTAATAGCTTAGTGAAACCGACCCTCTCCGACATACCTTAGTGGGTAACATGTTTGCCTGCTAATGTAAGGCCTACGTTCAAGCCTGTGAACAAACACACTTCGTTTCGTGCTGGAAGTCAGTCGCTTGATGGAATGCCTAGCGGCGATACTAGGCGTAAAACTCGAAATATAGAGGTCCGAAACCGGCCGCTGACATAGTTCATTTCATTGAAAGGAGCTAGCTGTTCGAAGCTAGCAAGATACTAGCTTATGTAAAATTTAACATCGCCTGGTATGACAGTGCGCAAGCTTCCTTAGGAAAGGAGTCAGCCCTATTTCGAGTCATTTGTGATGCGCGGCAAGCTAAATGGACTGCTTTAAAGGTGGGAAGTTATTTTAGAAATCCATTCGTAGCTTAGTTACCCTAGGGAAAAGCTACCCTCAGTCGGCGTAACTTCCTGCAGACAAAACCTTTGTTTTTTTGCGTTCGCACTAAATTGATTGCTATTTATACTAGCGCTGCGCTCATATAACCCTGCTTCTGATAAATTTCCATACCATTTTAGGCCCAAAGTATTCGAAATCTGCCAACTAAATTTAGAACTGTTTTCATTGATCTCCAATTGCGACATCCTGGAGAATTATATTCATTAGCCAATGGTCAAACTCGAAGAAAAGCTAAAATCGCACGCGTAGGAGAAAAAACGTGTTGCTCAAAAGTTACGTTCATGGAGTAGAACTACATCGTGTTAGGAGGTTAACACAGACAAGTTCATTAGGGTATAATCCGTTCCTATTGGCACGCAAGAAGACTGCAGAAGCTAGATTACGTGAATATCGGGCTCAATCCAACTTTTGTTGCCATAGCAACAACAGTGCGTCAGTACCTGGGGATTAATTCTTCTCCTCTTACAGCTCCCTGCCTTGTCTAACATAGTAATTTTTCGCGGCGAGATTACATCGAGCTGATAGGCGTTGCGATAGTACGCGACCGCAGAACTCAATAGCTCCGTACGCTGGCACTTCACAGTAGACTGAAGGCTTAGAGCGGGTGCGTCCCTGCAGAGTACGCGGAAAATATTGTCTGATTAGCACCTTCATGGTAATATACAAATACATCTGCGTTGGATGTCGATTTCTGCGACTTGCGATAGATCATAAAAAATATATATATTCGTTTAGCACAATGATTCGTGTGTACCTGATAGAATTTCCCTGGTCCAGCTGGCTTAATCCTGTATACTAGTTTTGCCTGCACGCGCATACTTACAACGCGTTCGCACTTGCAGGTACTCGCTCCTTGTCATCACTATCGTCGCGCGGCAAATTTAAGCGTGTCGCTGGAAACGCTTTATCTAATACTACGGCATTGGCATTCTAACTTCATCTTCTATAACGAAATCATTATTTCGAGGGGCTTGCCTCTAACTATTGTTCACATTGCAAAGTAAGTTGCATAGCACAAGTTGTTACTTGACTCAATTTGAAACTCAACGTTATATTAAACTGAACTTAGCGAAGAAGTACTCTTCATGCTTATTAAGATATGTATGATATTTGAAGTAGGAGTGGGTGTAGATTATCAATTCGCTCCTACGTAAAAGTGGGCCATTGGGCTTTTCATAATCTATAGGCAAATATAATTTTTTTTCATATTTATATATATATGTATATAACAGGCAAATATAACACAATTCTCTATTGCGTTGTCCCATGTGGTTGGAGTTCAAGAATATGTCCTATGCTTATGCTTATTTGATTAGTCACTGAGTTCTTGCAGTTTTTGTTAATTATATTTTATGTTTCGAATTTTTCCTTTGTTGGTGATTAAATGTTATGATATGGCGCTCGTTCCGAGTTCGCCATGAACCACTCTTGAAACAGGCTAGGTGCTATATCTTTTACCTATAGAGTGTTGGTTGTATGCGAAAGAAACACTTCAAGTTTTTTGATGTCAGGAAAAGTGGCCAGAAGAACGGCTGACGTACCGATAAAGTGCGAGCTCACAACATGCATTCAGTGACCCGAATTAACTACTGATAGAAAGTTTTACAAATATATGCGGCGCTTAACCATGAAGGGAAATCAATAAAAAAACAAGCTACAGTTTACTTATCCCTCTAACATATTATGTCCTGTACCGTACGGTCACTTTCTCTCGTACCTTTTCCTAGTAGGAATTTATTAGAGCAAAGATTCTTGCCGAAAATGTAACAGGAAAAAAGTAAAAACAGATTAAACTAGCGCAAGGTTGCACGCTAGACTAAGCGTAAAGCTACTACGGAAGGGAACGATTGATGAACTCATACAAGCGACCAGAAAACGTTATGTCTGACACAAATAATGTTTCCTTGCACTGATGCAAAGATGCGCATCAAGAGAAGCTTCGCGTCGCTTCGGTACTGCTTAATTGTGCCGCGTCTATGTACGCAGATATTAATATAGAGGTATCGTCGCGGCGACTGTTAACTGGCTAATTGTATATCGACAACTGTAACACGCGGGGGGTTTCATTTTGATAAAAATCCTCCATTACAGCACACGATGATACGGAATATCATGGAGTTTGCATTCCTCGCCGAATCTGTCCAACAACTAGATGTCTGCAACGCCGCTTAAAGAGCAAATAGTTCTGCTATCAAATGAAGACCATTAACTTGGTCTTCAGTTGTATGCAAACGTTGCCTTGGCCAACCAGGATGATCTGCTTTCAGTGTTACTGGGTAAAAACTTACGCCGATAAACATATTCATCGTGCCTTACAGAAAATTTCGTTTGAAGGAGCATCGGGACTTTTGCCCAGTGAGGCAGGCAGACGTGTAAGTGATCTTAATAAACGGCGCCCAAGGTCCTTACTTAAAAAATTTCGTTTAATACACTGTGTTTCTCAAAATTTGAGGTAAAACCGAGTCAAAATAGGAATACTGCTTGTGGCTCTGATCTCCCTTTAAGTTTGTCATTTTGAATACACTATTTCACTACTGCTTTTGTAGTTTTTGTCAATTGTTCATTTTGCAATTATAAGTTCTGCATTCAACAAGTATAAATAACAACTCGCTACTAGGATCGAATTCTTGGTGTAGTTTCCATAGGTTGACCCATATCTCGAATGTGACAACCATAGGCCGGAGTGCATTTTATTTGAAGGACAGAAAAGGTGTTCTAGGACGCTGCCAGCCGTTTAGCGGTAACCCTAAGCGATATTTCTTTCCATTTCCAAAGAAAGCATAGACAGATTGTTCGAACGTTTTTCCAGCTAATCCCTAAAATCTTCGCATAAAATATTCGATCTGAATTACTCATTGGGAAACAAAAGCGATTGTTACTGTAACATGTGACCCATACTTAAACCCTGTCACATCGCGAAGGCAGTCAAAGTCCTCGATCGGAATACGACTGCTTCAGAACAGCTTAAAATTGATATCGACGTTATTGTCGTGAAGGACAGTACAAATCGCCTTCTGAACGTACGGTCAATGTTGCCACCAGAGATATGTTTGAAATTATATTTATCTATCTAATGGATATCTATACTAACCAATGCTTACCAGTTAATAGGTAGAAGTATATTATCTGAAGAATAGTCGTGACGAAGTAGTATTAAACGTTCAGCCAATCGATTTAGTCCATGTTCGGGGACCTTACGGTCGACGAAGTTACACGCAAGATCTTTGAGTGACTTGAGATTTAGCTCCGCGATCTCGATGGTCACCGTATCTTTCTGAAGGCCAAGCTGCATTTGGAAATTGACCACGGTGGGGATGTTGAGCAGAGGTAGGACCGAATCCGTCGTTTTCATCTGAAATGACAATGGACAGACAGACGGTTACAATCGTAGAGAAAATAAATTTTATCCTGATAACAGTAATCGTCGTCATTCTCGTTATACTATATATATATACACACTATATAGTAGGCATTTGATGTTTACTATAAATCTCTTTTCAAATATCCCTTGAAAGAATTAAGTGTTAATGGACGATAATTACAATGTAACCCAATCGTAATAAATCCTTTTATATAAAATGCACCTTTTTGTATAGGATCAATGGAAACAATTAGGCTTAACGAAAAGGGCGTTACTCAACGATGCAGTTACATAACTGGACGCGAAAAATAATAGTGCTTTTTGCTCGACAGAATCTATAGGCATGTATGAGTGAACGAGTCGATCGTCATAGTTACCTGTATAGCCACCGCGCACAGATTTTCTATGAAACGTGCACCATTGGTCAGGTAGAATCGACAAGCAAAGAAAAAAAATGTTCGGATCTTTCAAACAGTAATGGTTAAATTGCTAGAAATACAGAGAAGGAAGCTACATAATTCTGTTTATTTAATTGTTTATTGTATTTAATTGTTTTTATAAACGCGTTCAGGACCAATGTTAATAATTAGTCCTATAGTTAAAATCGGTTAGGTCCGCGGCTCTACCGCCACTAACCGCTACGTGACGTGTGTGGCTATATAAGAGGAGGTTTTTATGGATAGTTTTAGAGTAATGCTGATAACTGTGCAATGCAGCGTCGACTGAGTGAACATCGAAACGTTTCAAGTAAGTTGAACCTGCATTTTGTCAGCTGTCTACAGTAGAAGCCACCAGCTAAACTGCTTGACAAAGAATCCCTTAGCTTTTTGGCGGAAAGGATTGCTGGCTGTGAATGCCACATACTCTGTTTTTATGGAAAAGTAAGCGGATTATTCCGTATCTAATACCGGCTGTCCTTAGGCACTCGGCTGAGCCGAAGATGTCGTCCTAGCTGCCCTCAATCTTCGAAGGACTCATTGCTCAGGACAAATAAATCTAATTAGCACTTGGAATTTATATCAAACTTCCGTGGTTTACGCGAACAAGTTATTGATGTTGCACGTTTACATACTGTATGTACCCATATACTGTGGTTGTGCCTACGCAGTGTACGAATATGTAAGTGGGAATATGTACAATACATGTAAGGTCCGTTGCTTTAACTCTTGCCGGGAGAATGTACCCTTATCATTATCATTCAAGTATTGAATAAAAAAGTAAATTCGAAATCCTTTTATTTCAGTGGGGCAAAGGATTTGTTCACATACCCCACACTTTATTCTGGTTACTCGATAGAGGGAGACATTGCAGAATATTGTTTTTGTTATCTCATAATAGAATGCCTATTTCGTCATACGCTCTAAATAACTTTTCTCATTTTGACCTGAATTTAAATTTGCTAGGAATACGTAAATTAATACTGATAAAAAGAAAATCCGCTACAGCGACTTGTGTTATCAGGTAGTAGCCTCAACGACTTAGGTAAAAAAAAAACGGACGTCCGACTAAGTTATGCTGTACGTGCGGTATGTAGTGTTTTTTTATTGAAATTGCGTACGAGTTTAGCCATGATATTCGATAGAGCACAGGGTACCGAATACTCGTTTATCACATGTATATGCTTCATTTAATGCTATAGGCATGCAAGCAGTCGAAATACGTAAATTATTGATATCACACAAACCTACCCAATCTTTTGTATATCTATCGTAGATATCTTAGATGAATACAAACTGGAAGAACTTGTGACGTGTACCCCTCCACTAGCCAACAGGGCTGGAAGTTGAGAATAACGCCAAGTCACTGCAAAACGGCTTTACCTATCCATCGTATCTTTGGTTTAGATTCTGTAGGTGTGCAGAGTTAAAATCAACCGAATTGCTTTGCAGCTAAAACAGCATCTAGTAATGGTACAAAGACGTCCTAGGCAGTCTAACTATTAGAAGATATTTGCAGGCACACAAAGTCGGACCAAGACTTGTTAGTTAAATTAGAGTAGTTAAAAATATATAGGTTTAACTAGAGGTCAGATGGGTGCTAGTTTTTCCGAATAGTCGGCATTTTAAACAATTTAGTATAGATGCATATTTGGGTGATCAGGGCTACCGATTCCAAAAATACTGGTATAACATCCCCGACGCAATTTCCATTTGGTAGTCATCGAAGTTACTGCACTATATTGTTGTCGATGTAATTCAATGTGGTAACCTTGTCTCCATTTTGACAAGGAATCCTTCACCTTTTGCGTCTTTAGATTCAGCTAGTGGGGAATCGTTGAGACTTCTGAATTTTTGAAAAAAATTGCTGATCCACTGTGGTGCATTTCCGTTAAAACGTTTTTTTTCATCTTGTATCGAAATCCTTATATATATGTTGACAAGGCGGGCGAGAAGCAAAAAGTTACCAAGAAAAATATGTGCTCCATACACGTAGACAGAGAGATAACGTTTGGTACTTCTAGGGGTCGCGGTCACTGTTTTTGGGTCTTGCCCTTGGGCTGGCGCTTTCGCATTGGATTTGCTTTATCTGAGTGGCAATAGAACAGCGAACGAGAATTCTGGCGTTTGTTTCTGTTCGTACGGATTCATAGGCAAAGAGAACTTTGTGCACCCTGCCCGGTTTTTTGTCTAGGGAAGTCATATTCCGCGTGACATAAATTCTCGCATCATTCGTTGTAGATTTTGCCTGCAGCAAAAAGACTTTATCTCATAAAGAGTTCCTTTTCTAGGTGGAAATCGAACTGAATCCGTTAAGAAGCGAAAGTTCAGTTATATAAAGTGACAACTAGATCACAGAGACTGGAATTAATTTGTGGTAAGTGCAAAGGTGTAAAGGAAATCGTACATACCTACGGAATACAGGCGCTATTTATTGTTAGGTCGATACATACCCGCTCAAAATCTCTAAGACGCCCAGTGGTGAACCGAATAGCTGAATATAGCATGATACTTTCTTTATCAATAGCTAAAAAGCAAAAATATGCCCCAAAGCCGGAAAAGAAGTAATATAGGTATTTGGCTTATCTTATTTAGCCTGCTAATCGAGATAACTCGTTTGAGGGGCATTATCAGCCCCGGTTAATTGTGATTCGTATATGTATAGCTATTGATAATTTTACTAGCGTTTATTGCATTATGTCCATTCCACTTTTCTTTCGCACGTCCTTTCACCTTCACTTCGATCAAACACGGGCGACGACAGGCGGTTCCTTAGGTCGAAACGATGCTCTCATATAGTTACATATTATGTATTAGCTTGTATACATGGCAACACTCTTTTCAACACAATTCTCATTCTTGCTATTCGGCCAAGATTGAGAGAATTATGTGTCCTTTTCAAGTTCTTCAGAGGCGGACCAAAAGCTCAACTAAGTTTGTAAACAACCTAAATCTGAGCAAAACCCAGCGCGTTTAGGATCCTTAGCGTCAGAACAACTTTTAAAAAAAGAAGAACGAACTTTGCAGTTGCTTTCGTACTCTTCTTAGTCGCTCGTTTCGTCGCACGGTCCTTTTGTCGATTCCTGCGCACAGTTCCTATAGTGCCTTTCCAACCAACCAAAACGAAGACCCCAGTAAAATATAGTTGACGTACATGCCCTCGCTCATTTACAAGCAAGTCAACGTTACGCAGGTACTTAGGGAAGCCTTGTACTGCGGCGTTTTTGAGGGAGTAGATTCGCAGAATCCGGCATAGACAACAAATTGGTGGCAATGCAGAGTCGGTGCCTAGACGGGGTTAGTCTAGATAGTCCTGCTGGAAAAACGATGAATCGCTGAAGTCGGAAAGCACGTAGTATGTGGAATTAACACTGGGGTGGAAATGAGGGATTCTGCTTTTTGTCTTTGTTAAGAAGGCAAATACATCTTGATCTGCAGTCACAGATTGTGTTCATTGTTCAATGGGGCTGTAATCAATTATTGATGAGAAGAACTGTTCGCCGTTAAATGACTATGCGAAATGAAAAATGAAGCCACTTGGAGTGAGAAAGCTTAACTATTATTGAATGAAGCCTTTAATCCTAAAATAGGATGTTCTAGCGTAGGGTTAGAAGAGCAGGCCTGTGAGTCAATAGTTTAAAGCCGGCTAATTAATTCGTTGGATTGAGCTTAATTAAAAATAGTTATGTACTGATTTCAAACTTTTAAGGTCACAGGGCCTCCAGAAAAACACAACCGGCTTATGGTTTCTAAATGACTAGTTATATTATTTCTACGCCTAACATTCGACTGGACTAAATAAACAACAAAGACAAAGGCGTCTCTACTGAATACAAACGTGGTTTTTGATGTTTGCATTAGTAGGCCATTAAATCCGTGTACGTCTACTATTTCTTTATTATTGTACTATTGTTATGCAGACCGATATGTTTTTTGTCTGGACAAATAATCTATGCATTAACACTAATTTTTTCCTGTATTTCCCGATCATTTTTGCGTATGCATACATTTACAAGCCGAATACTACAATCTGCGTTTGATGATCAGAAGTCGTTACCTTTCCTAGTACTAAATAATCTTTAATTATCACCGTCTGTGCAGCAAGGATCTTGCTAAAGGAGTCCTGCAAATCGTTCTGTAACCGCACCGTCAAGGTAATTGCTTAATTGTGACTAATTTTTTAAGACACGAGCCAATGACCCACACCGTTACATTTTCGTATAGCGTCTACACCTTTAAAAAGCGTTTCGTTGTAGCTTTCGTTTTTGACCAATCGAAACGACACTAGCTTACAACTAAAACTGTAACCTGACAAAAAACCGTTGTAATGCTCGCATCAACGATCATAATTTGTCCTTTTGATCCTACTGGCACTGAAGTTCACAGTGTCCTCGTTTAGAGTCCTGGTTCATGTAAACCAGACCTTCCATCTGGTCTAGCTTAGAAGCAGAATTATCTTCTCGCAACACTCTATGCAAATTCCTGCCCGCCTTTCTCAATTAAAAAAGATACATCTTACCTAACAGAAAATTCAGTATGATATATCGCATAGCT